AAATTACAAGAACAAGCAGTATACAAATTTCTCAGAAAACTCTGAATTGGATTATCATGTAAACGTCGAACAAGAGAGAAAATAATTTCTCTCTTTTTTTGGGGCAAAAACAAAAAAAGAAACGGTCCAATGATCCTGTGACACGTACACTTTTGATACGTTTCAGAAGTACCAATGGGCTGATACGTTTCAAACCCAAAGAAACCCAAACCCAATTTTTTTAATACACTTTAATGGGTTGATATCCATCAAAGATGATGGATAAGGATGCTTTAATGTTTAGGTTCAAGACTCCAACGTACGGAACTTATTGTCTATATGTCAATTTTGGAAAAAAACAAAGATTTAAGGCACTATAAAGTCTAAACCATTTAAAACAAAATCAAATTATTATAGTTTAAAAAATAAAAAATAACAGTAGTGTTAATGGAATATGCTATATGCTTTTGTATAAGATGGTAAATGCTATCAACTCGTTAAAATGATTGATAAGAATGTGAGGAATCAATTATATTTGATTTGAAGACGAGGTGATATGAAATATGAAGATGGTTTGAGAGTTTGGTTCTCTACAAGATCATAGCAAAACAGGTTAGTCTTTCTATGATCAAAACTTTTTAAATAAAATTGTAAAAAAGTTTATTTCTTTTTAATATATTTTAACATTTAAAAAAAAATTATAACTAGCCCATATCCACTATTTGGATCTAATTATCTAATTTTTTTTTGTTTTGTTGAGAAAATTCATAATTATCTGAAAAAGAAAAAAAGTATCTAAAGATTTTGAACACAAAAAATGTCCAACACAGACCAAAATATTTTGACCACTAGTTTTTACTATCTAACAGTTGCTGATCACTCCACTGAATGTAGACATAGTTGAATATAGATATAAAAGTGTTTTTTTTGGATCGGGTAATTTAGTATAAAATTTTATGTATTGATTTGGATGATTATACAATTTGGTTCAAGTTTGGATTGGTAAATTTTGTTTTGGTTTGGCTCGTTTCATGTATGTTGTTTATTCCTAGGTGAAAAAGATTTCTATACAAAATAATGGCAAATTGGAATATACACAAGTGGATCTCGAATTTTGTGTAATAATTCATGTAATAAATACAATTGATTTTCTTAATTAAAACTAGCTATACTAATTAAAAGAAAATTCTTTATGGGTAAATAAAAAAAGTATCTGATTGTTTTAGATATTTTAACAAAGTGCTATTAGGTTTAGGTACTTTTAAAAAGTAGAATTAGGTTTAGAAGACTTTTATCATCCAAAAGACCATGTTTAAAAAAAAAATTCATTGTTTCAGGTGTTATTACAAAGTCATATTAGGTACTTTTAAAAAGAGCTGTTAGGTTCATGAACCTAAAAAAAATGTTTCTAAACATTCGTCCACAAAATTTTGGACATCTCTAAACATATGTGTTAAATATAGTTTTATAGTTTACATGACCTACTTATATATTCGCAGGGGCGGATCTACCATGTTAACGGATGAGACAGTTGTTCACCATGAAATTTTCAAAATTACTTAAATTAATTCAGAATTTTAGCTATGAGTGTTGATATTTTATTGCATGCTTCCTATCATGTTAAACAATTTTTGTTTTGTTTCATGTAATAAACAAAAAACAAGGTCTAATACATTTTTTTCTTGTCTACAAGCCCATGTAAAATACCAAAATAAGCCATTCATGTCTATTTTTTTGCAATTTGTAGACATTTTTTTTAAATATGTATTTTTTGCCCCTAATGACAAACAGTTCTAGATTCGCCACTGTTTAATACTTGTGTAGTTCATGTACTTGCAGTTTTCGGTTTTAAGTTTGCTTTGACAAGTTAAGGCATAGACCAATTTTAGGCGTTACGTTTCTTTTGCATGAACAAATTTTGATGAACAAGTACCAAAAGAACCTAAAACCAATATCATCATTAATATGTCGCAGTTTCTATAACTTTCAAGAATTTGTGGTAATTTCAATAAATCTCACAAGAATACATATGAACTAAGTGTTACTCCCTCTATACTTAAATTAGAGGATTAGGTGACTCCCCGCATAATACGCGGATGAAATATTTTTTAATTTTTAAGTATTAAACTAATTAGAAAAACATGTTTTATGGTCGTTGATAGGAAAAAAAAACATGTTTTATGGTTTTCTTATATCTTTATTCTCTACCTCTTATTTTACTAAATAAGCTTACTTCATGTGTCATGTTTTTTGTTATTTGTGTTCTTCCATTATTTTCTTATTTATATTCTTTTGAGAAACCAGAAAAAGATAAATAAAAATGAGCAAGATTACATATATATTTTCAAATCTATTTTTTGAATAATTAATTTTTTATTTGTGGTTAATTTTTTTATTTATTAGTAGTTCCGTTTGATAAATATTATTTTTATTAGCCTCATGGGTTATGGCTTATGAGTGGAGTATATAGATATTTTTAAAGGAATTTTCTATCAATTAACGTATAAAAAGTATTTTCTTGCAATTCAATTTTTTCATAGTATTATTTTTTTTATTGAAAAAACAATTTGATCATAATATTGGTTTTTCTGAACTTGAATTATTTTTATTTTATAATGAAATGACTTAATTGTGTTGATTAGTGATAGGTTAATAATGAAATAACACGTACATATTTTGTGTGTTAATAGAATTCAATTATTTTTATTGTCAACTGTGTGT